ACTGAGACACAGTACACAAGAGATATGTGTTCATGGCTTCCAAGAAGGACCTCAGGACTTTGTCATAAGTTTGATCTCTGATGTGATTCAATCTGGATGCAAAGCAGGAGGATCATCATCACCATATAATACTTGTCCAGCTTCCTTTTTGATACTTCCGAAGTTCCCACTTCGAGAACATTCTCAATTCTTCCACAGCTGCTTTGGGCTTCAGTCATGAAGAAGCCATATCATGGTCTGTCATTTGAACAGGCGAGCTTGTTGGCGGTATCCTATAGAGAGTTGAATATCATTACATAAATGCTTTGAGTTCCTTTCTTCCAAAAGTGTGACATGTCTTGAAAAAAGGCTCTAAGATATATCAAAGCCGGGGTTTCCACAGATTTGCCCACAATAGGGCACACAATTGGAAATCAGCTTGTTTCCCATTGTTCAGCTTTGGTCAGAAAGTACTTGGCTCCCATCCTGCTCGAGTGGTCATAATGTCCTTACCAAGGAACCACATTTCCACCGCAAGCACCAACATAGAAATTTCTTTCCGTTTATCTTTCCGGACAGTGTTGAGGGACTTCCAGAGAAATGAAAGAGCAATTCCAGACCCCATTCTTTTGATAAAAAGCGGAGAAGGAACCAGAAAACCGTGAAGACCCAGAAAACCTAGAGGTTCTTAGGGTTTTCTAAAGGGGAGCTTCTGGCACACCCAAAGTAAGATTAAGGGTTCATGAACGACAGAGGAGCAGGGCAATAGATCATGGAGGTGGCGCGAACGACTTTTCTGTGAGCAGAGGGCGGCGAGTGGACAGCACGCGCCTGTTCGCAGCGCACAAAGAGTCTGCGCGTGGCGGAGCGTGGAGGAGAGTCAGGCGAACCCACCGTGGGGTTGGCTGTCTGTGTGAAAAGGCAAACCAGATTTAGTGTCGTCGGACGGAACAGTGACGGCGGCCGGCGGCAGACGGCGGCCAACGGCGGTGGACAGCAGCGGACAGATGCGAGGTGGCGGACAACCAAGTTGAAGAATTTCAAACTGCAGTTGACACTGCAGATAGTGGCGAGACACCGCGGACAACCAACGACGACACCGGACAGATGCAAACACAGTGACAGTGCTAGGGACACCCAGGACAGAACCAGAGCAAGATGAACCTGCTCTGATACCAACTTGAAACAGAGAAAAGTATTCTGAAGGGCTTGGAAGACCCTTCTCATTCTATTTTTATATAGATAAAAATCTAGATACAAAGATGAAGAGAAATGAAGAGATTGTCCTAGACTTCTATAGGAACAATCATTATAGATAACCCAACACACAACTACCTACTTTAGGCCCTGCTATACTAATCATAGGTAGACTTAATAATTATTCTAACAACACACACTGAGAATCAAAGACACTTACCTCCTCTTTTGTCAGCAAAATGCAGAGGGAGGAAACAATCCTGTTGAAAACTTCTGATGGATCAATAGAAGTATCCTGCATATATATACAAATATACATGAAAATCAAGAGCTTTGGTCTCATTTTTTCTGACACTATAAAATACAAGATGGAAAAATCAGAACAAGAAGCAAGGCAATAAACAAAGTGGTCAGTGAACTAACATTCCTCAATATGGCTATAACATCCTCAAGAGAAGATAATGCACTGTATGACAATTCTATAACCTCAGGAGATATAGATGAACCCGCAGGTCTTGGAAGTGAAAGAGAGATGCTAAAGAGTAAATCAATAATCTGCACAAAAACAATTAATTAGACTATTAATTAGACTATTTAAGAACAAGTCCACAATATCCTCCTTACAGAAGTTAAGTAGAGCATGCACATTATAGAATATAGACCATACTATATTCCTGAAACTATTCAAATAGTGAGTGCCTTTTCTTTAAAGGAGCACAACTTCTCATATACTACTTACTTGTGCTGACACTTTTCGGACTTCAGAATTTGGGTCTGCACATCGTGGAAGGTACATTATAACCCTATCTCCCAAGCACAGAGCTTCTCGACTTGGCAGTACAAATGCAGCTAGTGGTTGATAAGAAAAACTATACTTCAGAATATATGAAAGAAGAGCAATTCAATGGTATCTAATGGAACAACATATTTACATGGAAGCTTTGAAAAATTCCTAAACAGAGTCCTGTCTATTTGCTTGTTATGTGCACAACTCCCATGGCAGCCCAGTGCACAATACCCACTAACACAAATCATCCGAAACTTTAGAAGCATCTCGTGTACAGCAAGGCAGCCTCTTTTCCTCTGATACTCAATGGGCGAACAGACAAATTGATCAATTTGCCTCAAGATAAGCATTAACAGCTCTGCTCGACTTCTTCCATCTTCTCCACTATATATTAAATTTTTACTAATCAGCATGAGTAAGAAAAAGTAACTATACATGGACGGAATGACCAGATACAAAAAACATTCATGACAAAAACTGACTGGCAGGTGTGTTTAGAAGGAGTGTGATAATGATGTTATGTTTGTAGTACACAAGATGCAGAACCAACAACAAACAAGAACTGATAACCCAGGATGGAATTAAAAACAGATCTAACAAAAGAGAAACAGTTTTCTTTATAAATGAACAATAAAAATAAAATGATGCACAGTTGACACAGTTCTAAAGAAAACAACAAAGTTGAATAATGTTCAAAAGAACAGGTAATATAACAAACTAGAAATAAATAATTAGAAGATTTTAACTTAAATTACCCAGAGAGAAGAATTGCACATAAAAGGGTAATCAAGTTGTCTATAAGGGGATTGACAACATCAACTGGATCATTTGGTATAGCAAAGAACCCTAATGTGGCCTGTCAAATTCATCAGGAAACTTGGATGATTAAAAGGTAGGATTACAAATAAATCAAATGAAACCCACATACCTTCATCACATGGTTCCTAGTTTCAACTGTTAGCTTTGGTTCCACCGAGACCAACGTGGTGCAGGCACTTATAGCAAGGGCCTAAATATAAGAAATCACATTAGCAAACTAAAATATTCTCAGCTTTAAATGACCGTCTTCATCTTAGGCATAGCTCAATTCTATATACCTGAGTACGCAATAGGTCATTGTAATCAGCAAAACCATCTTCATCATCCCGACCCATTAAAGTTAAAATATAATCAAGCAGTTGGTCCCTTCTTTTCAGTGGAAATGGTGAGCCACTTTCAGCAGCATTAATAACAGCATTACCTGCAATAAATCAAGCTCACAATTAATAAAATAAATTCAGTCATAAAAATTATTCATAAAACATAAATAAATCATGAATAGCATGATTTCTACAACTATTGTATATGGGGAAAAATAACCACAACTTTCACAGATCTTCACTTTCTAAAGTAGGCTTTAAAGCAATCCCTTTTTTTGCATAAATTCAAGTCAAGTGAGAAGAAAAAAATAGAAGATAAGTGTTTATGACAACCATATCAGCAGTTAAAAATGAAAGGGATAATAATGAGAATGAAAAATAATAAAACTCTGAAAAGATAACTATAAACCTAGTAAATCAATTGCTGTGATGACCGCTTGCTTTGCTTTGGGATGACGAACATGAAGAAGTCGTGAGAGCACATTGGTGCCCTGCCCACAAATAAATGAAACAATGTAAATCAACTTTCCCTGATTACAAGCATATGCAAAAATAAGCAAAAAAACGCACTTACAGGAAAGGAGACACTCAACCTACACTTCGTTTACTATTTTGTTCATTCATGCATAATTTAAACAGAAGATTAAACCAGGACACAATCCTTTTTTTAAAAAAATAAGAAAAACCTAGGTTCTGATACAGACTGGTTCTATAACTTTAATTGGTTTTCAAAAGGCAAACTAATGAAACTGTTTAGAAAATTGTTTTTGTTAAAAAGTGGACTTTAAGGCTAATTCAATCCCAGTAAAATTAGCTTGTAAGGTGAAGTTTGCACTCACTTATATACACCAAACTGACTTTATCTCTAGTCGATGTGAGACTTCCAACAGATACCTCTCACGCTGAGGTATATACATCTCGAGCGTGAGACGAGACATTAATGCACTAGAGTAGAACATATAGTTTCTACTTATTTCCATAGTCATGGATCCCCATAACCATGTAATGATTCGTGAGCCGTCATTATCCCAAATCTGAAAATTAGGGTTATCCATGGAAATTGCCTCCCCTTCAATATGATTGAGTCTACTCATACCCTTTAATGTACTTATGATAAATTGAGCCCACTAGAGATAATTTCAACCTTTAAGGCGGTTTTCATCAGGTAAGCATGGAAGATTGGGATTACTTAGTGGAATTGTCATGCCAAACAATAAATAATAGGGATTCCTTTGCCCTCTCCTAAATGATAATGAAAGGTAAGACAGAAAGCTCAAGGGATGACAGTAGTAATGGCACCAATGACAGCAGCTGTGATGGCAGTAGCAGTGATAGCAACAGTGACGATGATAACAGTGATGCAGTAAAGGCAACTGTAGTGGTGAGGCAGTAGCTACAGCTTCAGCGAAAGCTCCGCAAAAACTCTAACTACAGCTCCAGTGGGTGGCAGCTGATGGGGGTAGCAATAGTAATTAAAAGAAAAATAGCTGCACTTTAGATGATGTTAATGAGAACCATAACTAAGACGGAAAGAAGAAATGTGGATGCAGGGCTCTAGATCATGAGCTCTAATACCAACTTGAAAGGATTAATACGAAAGAAAGAAGATTATTATTTAGTTAATTAATTTGAAATAGTATATCAACTTCTATATATAGAGAACTCAAACCCTATAGTAATAATTACAAGAGATCTCTAGAATCTTCTAACAACTTCTAGCAATACATTTAATATTGTTGTGATTACAGGAAATACCTATAGAATTTTCCTAATTAGAGAAAATATTTGTAGGATCTTCTAGATTATTTTTTAGTATATTGTTTCCTTATTTCCCTTTTTCAGAAGATTAGATTGCTACAAATAGAGCAAAGGAAAATGTAATTGATAAGAATGAAAATAATAAAGTGTTTCTCTTTTTCAAGTTGGTTTTAGAGCTCCCCATCTTGAGAGCTCTGTTTCCACTTCAACAATACCCACCGTCGCCGTTGTCCAATATCCTATCATTTATGACTCTTAATATGAAAGCTTATAAGGAGGAACTCGAACGCTTGAAAGAATTGGTTGAATCAATGAGTAAGCCCTCTTAATCATGTACTCTTCGATGAAAGGTAAGATTTGTCTCGATACTATTGGTCATGGGTGGTATTTGGATTCTTGATTCAGGAGCAACTGATCATATGACACATTTTCGTCTGTCCTTCGACTCATATGGTAAAACAAATAGAAACAACTTATTACAGTTATGAATGGTTATGATATACCTATATGTGCCTCTGGGAATATAATTTTGGACTCATCTATTGCATTGAAGGATGTTTTACATGTTCCACAATTAGCCAACAGTCTTATCTCTGTGAAAAAATTCACAAAAGATTTAAATTGTTCAGTAACATTTTTCTCAACTTATTATGTTTTTCAGGAACTTGTCACGGGAAAGACGATTTTAACTGATAAGGAGCAACGTGGGTTGTATTTGTTGGAACTGATGACCAAAGCAAAAATAAAATCATTAGTCAACAAGTTACATCTGAGACGTGGGCAAATTCCCAAATATGGTTACATCATAAAAGGCTTGGGCATCCTTCATTCAATCTTATCCGTCCTTATTTCCCCATTTGTTTACGTAGGATTTTGTTGAGTCTTTTAATTGTGATATTTGTCAGTTGTCAAAACATCATTGTGCATCTTATCCTATTAATAAAAAGAGTACTTCTCCATTTGATTTAATTCACTCTGACGTTTGGGGATCTGTCGTAGAATCTATTTCCAGAGCCAAATGGTTTGTTATCTTTATTGACGATTGTACCCGTGTCACGTGGACATACCTTATGAAAAATAAATTAGAAGTTTTCCAAATCTTTGTTAATTTTTTTTGTCTTGACCAAAATCAATTTGGAAAAAATATAAACAAAATCAGATCTGATAATGGTACTGATACGTGAAACATGAATTTTTCAAATTTTTGTCTCATAATGATATTATTCATGAACTAACATGTGTAAACACTCCTGAATAAAACGGGGTTGCAGAAAGAAACAATCATCAGCTTCTTGAAGTAACTAGAAGTTCATCACTTTCAAATGTCTGTTTCAAAAAATTATTATGGAGAAGTTGTGTTAACTACCACATATCTCATCAAGAGGCTACCCACCCGTATCTTAAATGGCATTAGTCCTGTAGTGTCTTTATTGCCTTTTGTTCCTTCTTCCCCCTAATAACGAGTCTACCTAGTCGAGTCTTTGGATGTATTTTTTTGTTCACTCTCATCATCCTAACCGTAGTAAATTAGATCCCAAAGCTCTTCAATGTGTCTTTATTGGGTATCCTTCTAATAAAAAAGGTTATAAATGTTATGATCCTCAAAGTCGTTGTGTCTTTATCACCATGGATGTCACCTTTCATGAAACACAATCCTTTTATGTCAGTCCACCACTTCCAGGGGAGAAAACACTTGAAGTGGATGAACTCTCCTTCTTGTCATTACCATGTTTGACTTTGCAGGATGCCCAAGATCTTAGCAATGAAGCTACCCTATTCCACAATGAGAAAGAAGAGGAATAATACAATTTTTTTGGAAAAAAGGTGAAAGAAAACAACCCACTTCGACTCCTGAGCAAGAAAAATTGTCTAATCGGGAGGTGAGGATCCTTGATGGTAACAATGAGGAGATAAGTATTACTGAGGATTTACCCATTGCATTGAGAAAGGAAGGAAGATCATGTGCTAAATATCCTATTTCTCAATATGTTTGCACTAACAATCTCTCTGATCAGCATAGAAGCTTTCTTACTACCATTGATGCCACAAATATTCCAAACTCAGTCCAAGAGGCAATGAAACTTGAACATTGGAATCAAGCCATGAAAGGAGAGATGAATGCATTAGAAATAAATTCAATATGGGAGATTGTTCATAAGTCAAGAGACAATAAGGTAGTAGAGTATATATGGATATTCACAATGAAACAAAAGGCAGATGGGACAATAGAAAGACATAAAGCTAGATTGGTGACAAAAGGACATACCCAAACTTATGGAATTGACTATGAGCAAACGTTTGCCCCAGTGGAAAAGATGAATACAGTTCGATTTGTTCTCGCTTTGGCTACTCATTTTGGATGGGACTTACACTAGTTAGATGTGAAGAATCCCTTTCTTCATGGAAATCTAGAAAAGGAAGTGTACATGGAGATTTCCCCAGGTTTTGAAGTGAAAAATGAAAAAAACAAGGTATGCCTCCTAAAGAAAGCATTGTATGGTCTTAAGCAATTCCCTAGAATATGGTTTGGAAGATTTACAAAAGCAATGGTTTCCTTGGGATACAGACAAAGTCAAGGAGATTATACTTTATTCATAAAGCATTATTCTACTAGTAAACTCACTTTATTGTTTGTCTATATGGATGATATGATTATTGAAGGAGATTATGAAACAAGAAAATTGGCGTTAAAGAAAAATTGACAGCCCAATTTAAAATGAAAGACCTAGGAAAACTCAAATGTTTTCTTGGAAAAGAGGTTGTTTACTCCAAGAATGAAATTTTTATCTCCCAAAGAAAATATTTACTTGATCTCCTCAAAGAAATAGAAAAGTGGGATGTAGAACCTAAACAGATCCTATAGAACAAAATCACAATTGGAAGTGATGAAAGTGCTCCTGTAAAGAAAACCCAATATCAAAGGTTGGTAGGAAAATTGATTTATCTATCACACACAAGACCAGACATTCTTATGCAGTTAGTGTACTGAGCCAATTTATGCATGATCCAAGAGAGAGACACGTGCAAGCTATGAAAAAATTCTCCAATACTTGAAGTCAAGTCCAGGAAAGGGGCTATTATTCAAAAGGGAAGACACATTGAGTATGAAAATATATACTAATGCTGACTATGCAGGTTCTATTACTGATAGAAAATCTACTTCTAGGTATTATGTGTTTCATGGAGATAGTATGGTAACGTGGAGGAGCAAAAAGCAAGATAGAGTATCTCGTTGTAGTGCAGAAGCTGAATTCTGAGCTCTTGCTCAAGGAATGTCTGAAGGACTCTAGATGAAAATCATTTTGGAAAACCTTAAGTCAAGGTGGACAACCTTGTGCAACTATACTGTGACAATAAGTTTGCCATGAGCATTGTCCATAATCTAGTACATGACAGGACCAAACACATTGAGATTGACAGACATTTCATCAAAGAAAAAATCTAAACAGAGGCTTTGTGATGACAACTCATGTTCCTACCAAACTTCAGATAATAGATATTTTTACAAAAGGGCTCCCTCTAGGTAGACTCAAGATCTTATAGGCATGTTGGGAATGACTGATATTTATTTACCAACTTGAGGGAGGGTATTGTAATTAGAGGAAATATCTATAGAATCTTCTTAATTAGAGAAAATATTCATAGAATCTTCCTAACTAGAAAAAATATTTGTAGGATCTTCTAGATTATTTTTCAGTATATTGTTTCCTTATTTCCCTTTTTTAAAAGATTAGATTGCTACAAATAGAGGTAAGGAGAATATAATTGATATGAATGAAAATAATAAAGTCACTTCTCTTTTTCAAGTAATACCCTACCAACAATTTTCAGTTTTGCATTTAATATCCAACTAATAACACATAAAATAACCCAAGAATATACAAACTGCCTTCAATGAAAACAATTCATTATTTAGTCCACAGCAAACCAGTAATGATACATAAAATACAGGAAAACATTTTTTTTTTCCTGTTCTTAAAGAACTCCTAGAGTAAGAGATTTAAGAAATATTTCACGATATCATAATGTTTCAAGAGAATCCTAGATGATATCTTAAAACTTACTCTATTTTGAGTTGTTTCCCTAATTACAATTTTTGTAATTATATGCATGTCTTTTAAAATCTAACTTATCAACATATCTCATCATGTATACAGGAATAAAATCATGTATAATTATTTGTATTTACTGCAATTGCATCCAACTTATATACAATGAACTCCACTGTATTTATAATGATATCATTTTAACATATTTGGGAATATCCTACATTCTCTCAAGATTTATTCTTTTATATTTTGTGATTTGTTTCCTTAAATTAGGATATTTGAAATTGTAGGGATATCAACCAAATTTCATTAGAATCTCATTAATAGAAATAAGAGATATTTATAATGATACCATTTTAACATATTTGGGAATATCCTACATTCTCTCAGGATTTATTCTTTTATATTTGTGATTTGTTTCCTTATTTAATTAGGATATTTGTAATTGTAGGGATATCAACCAAATTTCATTAGAATCTCATTAATAGAAATAAGAGATATTTATAATGATACCATTTTAACATATTTGGGAAAATCCTACATTCTCTCAGGATTTATTCTTTTATATTTTGTGATTTGTTTCCTTATTTAATTAGGAGATTCATAATTGTAGGGATATCAACCAAATTTCATTAGAATCTCATTAACAGGCTTATAATATCATGTATCCAGGAAAAATATCAATATAGCTGTTTGTATTTATTGTAATAAACTTATATAAAATAGACTCGGTCGAATACTTTAGACACACAGTCCCACATCTCTAACATCATTTTTCTCTTTCAACAGTACCTAATTATAACTGCATTTAAAAAGAACTGAGAATGGTTCCAAATGAAACATTAATTATTCCTTAAGTATCTGATCAGAAAAAAAGCAAGACAACAAAAACAAATGCAGAGAAAAAAGATGACCTACAACAAGGGCATTTATTCTGGCTTCAATAACTGTTGATGGGGCATACTTTGCAGCATATCCATACATTAGGGCCAAAGCAGCATGAATGTCATCAGACTCTTCCGTTCTGAAACTATCTGAAAATAATGACAGGATCCTGCAACAAATAAAAGCTACAAATAGATAAGACAGTCTGAAACTATATGAATCTTGAGAAAAGAAAAAGGAAAAACAGAGCATTCAGCGGGTAAGTTAAGGAACACTTGCAAGCTGATATCATGTTCTTATGCAAAACATATTGTTCAATAAACCAAGTATATATCAACAAAAAACGACAAATTCTGAATGTAATATAATCTTCGAAAGAAAAAGAAATAAAAAATCATTTTAAGAAGACCTGATGGAAGGGTAAGTAACAGACTCCAGACAGAATCGAGATTTGGCTTGTATATGAAGGCAAGGGAAAAACAAGGGAGAAAAACAAGAAGGCAGGGAACGTGATTTGGAAATGTGCATAACGTGATTGAATAAAAAGATTTGGAAACAGAGAAACCATTGAAGAGATTAAAATCCTATTAGCATTCTATAGTTTCCTTTTCCTGCTAAAGAGGATCTATGTAAATAGATTCCTCGGTTTCTGATGCCATTTAAGTTACTAATAAAAACAGAAAATTCCAGTAATATTATGGTGATATAAAAGCATAGTTACTGTTTTAGTTGACATTATTATACAAGGGGCAATAATTTCATAAGCTATCATTAAAAAACTTAAGGTTTTGAATTCCAATGTGATATATATTAAACTGCAAACATCAAAAACATGAAAACAAAACATAAAGGAGAGAAAGGAGGATGAAAACAATTCACAAGTGTAGCAGTAAGATCTGAACATCAAAACTTCATCAAATAACATTTTGAAAAAGAAAAACGGTATACACTCAATCCTACAAATCTGGCATAAACCTCTGAAATATGCCTTGCCCAACATTGTCTAAAATGTCCTTCAGCTTGTCCAATACTGTATCCAAGTGTGATGCAGCAACCTTAAGAAATAGAAAGTATGTTTAAGAAGCAATAGGAAAGGAAAATGAATCCAACAAGATCAAAATAAATAAACTAAAATAAATAAAAAGATTAAATCACCAATCCCATTGCTTTTGCCAATCCAAGTCTGTTTGTTGGAATTGCAATGTTTGCCTGCTTGTACATCCAATCTATTTTATCACGGACATAAGCTCTTTCTTTAACCTTTTGAAGCAGAATGCCTAGGCACCTGTGTTCAAGTACAATACCTTTTTCACACCCTTTCCAATCTTAAGTAATGGTAACTTGAATTTTCAAAAGGCACGTACGTACATGGGTGTTTATGCTCAGACCAAATTGGAGAATCCGTGGTTATTCCAAAAGTTGGAAATAAATACCATGGTATATGGGTGTTTATGCTCAGACTGGTAATAGTAAAAAGAAAAAATAAACATGAAAAATGTTTTGCTCATCTGTTTCAATCACTTCTCATCACAGGCTTTAAAATTCTTACAAAAGCAGATTTAGGCTCCGTACATGGATAATACAAGTAAATTGGGGTTTTCCCCAATACGCCCACTCACATCCAGCACTATTAGGCTTCGTACATGGATAATACAAGTAACTCTTTTAATTGATCTAGAATAGATTCTCATCACATTTTACAAAGTGGCTTTAGGCTTAACTCAACCAGCTTAATAGGTAAGGATTTCCCCCACTTGTATAGTGTATTTTGACATTATCTCTAAATGATGTGGGACTTAATTTTTTTCCGAACAAGAACATTTCTGAAATCAACATAACAAGTTTTTAATTCATAGAAGGGAACCACTAATGTAATATATTGCAGTGAAAAATTGAATTGATTCCCATTTGTTCTTGTACTCCAATTGTTTCTTTCATTAAAGATTTGATCATTTAGGGAAAGTATTGAGTTTTCCCTAAGGCATGTGAACTATTTTCTGTTGACTGGATTTATTGGTTTTGACGGAACAAAAGAAACCAATGTGCACGGCAATGTGTAATATTTATGCTACTCTTTTGTGCATCAAGTTGGAGAACAATTCTTACATTTTTATGAAAAATTCTTTTTCTGTGCATTTCATATTGAGAAAATAAGTAGCCATCTTTTGGCTTGTACTAGTAAATTTCATGGTCATTGTTTTTATGACTATGTCTTATCATACTTTATAGTATCTTAGATTATTACCCTTTAGGAATAGTTCCCCTATTTTTCTTTATCTTTAAGGATTTTTACCACATTTGCTTATTTCACAATTTGTTTTCCTAATTAGGTTGGATTATGATAGGAATGGGAAAAATGAGAAGGCATGTAAAGATTATTATAGAAGGAAAACTAAAGGGTGCAGTTGAACAATAAATGAAGAGGTGTAAATGGTGCACAATAAAGGAGGCAAATGAATCTGTGTTTTCGGAGTGAGTTGGTCTATATAATTAGACCAATCAAATCCTTTGAGGGACACATTTTTCTTAAGAACTTGGAGTTTTATATGAGTATTAGCTCATGGTAAAGGAGAGAGCTCCTTTGTATGTGTTTTCTGTTTTTTCTAAACAATAGAGATAGCACGGAAACGGCTTTTAATCATTGGTTCTTTGAGTTTCCTTTCTCCACGTCTCTTTCTTTTATGTTTTGTTCAAGTATCCAAACAACTGGTCTGACAGAATTGTTTATAAGCAAAGATATCCTATGGGACATAAAGGAGATTAAAGAACTTCTTCAGGACATCAAAAAAGGAAAGAAAATGGTAAAAACGGGTTTGGATATTGTGAAATATAGCTTGCAGGATGTATAGGATTAATCTCCCTTGTGTAGAAAACACAAATAGAGTAATGTATTTATAATAATGAGAATGTGGGCTAAGTCCAAATACAAATGAATATGTAAAAATAACATAATTAACATAGAAAATATGTTTCCTTAATTAAATAAAATCAAAGAAGAACACAAAAATAAGACAAATATGGAAACACCACAATCTAACATATTGATGAGTCAATGAAAATTTACAAAAAGGATCTCAATTGGTAAAACAAGTGTTCTATGACAAGAACAAAGAAAATCATCTCTCAATGAATTCATAATTAAAATATTGACTATTAAAAGCTTTAGCCTTTAGATACCAAGTTGAAAATAGTAAAACTAGGTAAAGGATTAATCTCACTTGTGTAGTAAATACACATAAGGTAATGTATTTATAATAATGAGAATGTAGGCTACAAATGAATATGAAAAAGTAACATAATTAACATAGGAACTATGCTTCCCTAATTAACATAAAACACAATATATCTAACAATGTTAAGAATTGGACTTTAAGCCTAACTCAACCCCATAAAATCAGTTTATAAGGTGAGGTTTGATCCCACTTATATATACTATAAACATGTCTTATCTCTAGTCAATCGGGATCTCCAACACACACCGAGGTATATACATCTCGAGCGTGGGATTAAACATTAGTAGGTGATCCAATAGTAGCCCAATAACAGGCGAAACAATATGCCCAACAAACGACAAATCTCGCTAGGATATGCTCTAACAATGGCTCTGATACCATGTTAAGAAATTAACTTTAAGCCTAACTCAATCTCACAAGGTAAAGTTTACACCCACTTATACATTAATAACTTGTCTTATCTCTAGTTAATGTGGGATCTCCAATACAAGATATGAAAGAACTTAAAGAATTGCTTAAAGTTATCAAGAAGAATGAAAAAGGGGGTTCAAAGGGGTGGGAGAATTCAACCGATGTAGAAGAGAAGAAGGAAGAACAATCAGTCCCGAATAACAACTATGATTAGGAGAACAAGGACAATAATGCTTTTAATAAAGAGGAGGAAGAACCAATTCACCCTTGAGTTAAAAGGTTGGAGTTGTCAATGTTTGTGGGAATTGGTCCTTTAGGAGGGATAACTTGAGCTAAAAGATTCTTTGAGGTAGAGGAATGCATATTACACAAGGGAATTTAGAAATAAAAGGGGTTATTTATTTAGTTGTTTTCAAAGAGAGACTTCCTAAGACAGTCAATAAATAGTTTCCATTTGGAAGGTATTACGGGGCTATCTTTTCGGTATTGAAAGTCTTTGACTTCGATGACAGGGAATAACCTGTGTGAAAGGAAGCTTTTTCCTTTGTAAACATTGTTCTTTAACAGCTAATAAGTGAATAATTCAGTTTGAGATTTTATCTCTGGTTCTTCTGTCTTGTTTTTCTGGTCTTTGTTTCAAAGGTGCCTAACAATTTAACTCACAAACAATGATTAATCATAAGCTACTAATTTCATATTCTGCAGTGAACCTGAATATTACCAGTACAAATACAATTTCATCTGCCTTATTTTGTATATATAAGATAAAATATAAAGCAAACAACTTCTCAAGTAACAAAAAGCAATATTTAACGTGTGTTTCTATTCCGTTTACAAAAGAGAACACTTAATGATAGAGCATTGATACCGGTGCAGAAGTGCGGTGTGTTCATCATCTGAAGCATAAAGTTCATAATGTTTGGCAAAAACATTTCCAAGAGACATAACCCAATCTGCATCTTGAATCACATCCAAAGATTCTGCAAGAAACTGCAGCCCAAAAATAGAGTTCATACATTAGCTTTGAATAACCACAATTTGTATACTGATCCATCATTGTATTTTTTCTTATCAACATAAACAATTTGAAACATGTTTGATCACTTCAGTAGAACTATCATAATGCAGTTCACAATTAACCTATTTGAAAAAATATTTTAGTTGCAAACAAACTAAATACTCCACCTACTTGAACAAAAATAGCTCATGCATTGAACAGAAAGTTTGCCTTCATGACAAGTACTTCTTACAAATTATTGAACTATTTATTATACAGTTGAACAACGTGAGGTTAGGATGTTAAGCAATTCATTCACACTCACATTGATAATCATGTCATCCCAAGTGTCTTGATATGACGGATCCTGCTTTAAGTCCTCTGTATCACTAACATATGCCTTCATCTTTGGAATCTAGAGCTTACCCAAATACAGAAAATAATTACACTTTGGTCTATAATAATCATCCTGAAATTTTAAGTTATAATGTAACTGATTCAAAATAGCATATTACAACAAAACTATATTTTAAAATGAACATAAGTATGTGAAGCTTTTTGATTATTTCTCAATAACAAACAGACTTATGCAGGCAGACACATTAGATACAAAATTATAAAACTGCTAAAGTGTTTTCTTCATCTAAAACTTTACAAGACAAGAAAGCCTAGCAAAGCACAAAATTTTATGATTCAACATTCTCAGAATATTTGAATGACTTCACTTAAGGAGCTTATATAGGCTTATTACAATAATTACACATATATAGAGAAATTTAGAATCCTCTAAATCCAAAATGGCCGGCCTATAAATCCAATATATTCACTTATAAACAATACTATTATAAATAGAAGATAATTTATTACAATTTCAACAAGCACAATTAAGATATTTAAATGCAAGACCTTCACCAATATTTATTTGCTCAACTTGGACATGCTTCAATAATGATGTATAACCAAAAAACTTGACTGATTGTCAACCTCTAACAAAAGGTAAAGAAATTCACAAAGCACTGAAGATTTAAACCGGATAACATATAATTTTTAGCAAAAAATGTTACCTCATCTTGCCAAAACAAATTAATATTTTTTGGAAATAGAGGTGCCAAAAGACATAGAACCTGCAGAAAATATGTTTACATGTCATCCAATGGAATGTGTGCAACTAAATTTGAGAAAAAAAGAAAAGCTTAGTGAATGACACCATCAACCAATAAAAAGAATTCATAAAATACATATTAAAATAACATTCCAAATAGTTTGAGCGACCATTCCGAAGAGTTGAGACTTGGCCTCAATCTAATGGCCCTTTTACCATCATGTGTAAGATATATATTTAAAAATGTATAAAAAATCCTTAAACATAACAAGAATATAATGTAAATCCAAATTAAAAGCACGTTTCTTAAACTGTCATTGTCAAAATAAAACAATTATAAATCGTTGTCATCATAAATTAGTTTCCATTATTTAGATTTGGAAATACCACTATCAATCTCATTAGGTTCTCAAAATGATTCGTAAATAGAACAATTTCCATCTTTGCTTTCCAAGATCATCGTCACTTCACCAGTTGTAGTTTTATTGCATATAAATATTTTAAAGATATGGACATTTTTCCAACATGTATCAATGATGTATCCAAAAGTATCAGTATATAACATGTGAAAGAAATAATATATTGAAGTTTCACAGATTTTGATACTTCATTGACATGTATCAATGAAGTAGAGTATTTGGAATAGACTAACCAAATTGAAGTATAAGTATTTCATAGATGTTTTTATAAGATACTTCTTGGATATTTCTAGTATACTTCCAAATACAAATAAAAAAAGTATTGAATCTTTTGGCATCTAAACTTTAAAGGTTTTTTCTAGGATATGGTTTGGTTGCTTGAAATAGTATCTAAAAAGTTTATCTTGAAGCTTCTTGAGCTTGTCATATGTTTGGTCATGTTATGATAAAAATTGGAGAACAAATTCCATCTCAGTCTTTGAAAAGAAACAATGTATCCAAAAAAGACCTAATATTTGGTTATATGTTCTCGAACCTTCAACGTTTGTCTAGAAAAGATGAAGGTATTATTGTATAAAAAAGGACAAGAAAAGATGAAGGTATTATTGTATAAAAAAGGACAGACAAGGTTGATGAACATTTGTGGAGATATATCCACATGATGATAGTTGTTGTAATTAAAAGAAATATCTATAGAATCTTCTTAGAGAAAATATATATATAATCTTCTTAATTAGAAAAAATATTTGTAGGATATTCTAGATTATTTTTCAGTATATTGTTTCCTTATTTCTCTTTTTTAGAAGAGGTAAGGAGAATGTAATTGATATGAATGAAAATAATAAAGTCACTCTCTTTTCCAAGTATAGCATTGGGCTTCTTGATTTGGCAAAGTTCACTCTTGAAGAACTAAACTTAGAAGCTATGTGTTTTCTAAATGATGGTAACAGAGGATAAAAGGATAGAAGAATGATACAATTAGCATTAGACAGTAATTTAGCAAAGCTTCTAAAGTCTGTAGGCTATTATAGAGTCAATACTTGTTAAGTTATATAGAAGATGTTTTTATTGATACAATAATCACAGAAGAAATATCTAGTTCCTAATAGCATTAACGAAACTATTCAACAAACATGTTAACTTCTTCATGTTTTAGCCCAAAGCTAATAAAAGTTTATTTTTTTGTCCATGGATTGGTAAATGTTAGTATATATACGGAATTGCAACATAAAAAAATCATGCTGAAGGCCTCTATATGTGACAATATATATCAAAGAAGAATTTATTGAGAAATATTATGAAGATATTAAGGGATGTCATTAGCTCACTGTCAAAATTTGAGTGGCCAATTGTTCCCTTGCCAGAGGATTATGCAAAAGCACCACCAAGCGAGCCAGAAGTTCCTGCATCAAGCATAAATTATTCAACCAGGCAATATGTGCTGATACAGGAAACAGTGGTTCTTTTTTAACAATTGAAAGTGAATTATAAATATTAAAAAAAATTCAAACTATTAGTGATATCCTACCTCAGCAATTGGTATATCAAGACGGGTTTTACACTCACTCAACATATCATTGCTATATGACCTATGCCGCCACAATTCTGAGATACACCTGCAAACCTGTAAAGTAGTAATGATGTCATTTCATTTGCCAAAGAAAAAATTCTGCAAAAATACAAATTCAATTTTGCAGTAAATTTATACTTCCAGATAATTTGCAAATCATACAATGAATGGATAAAATTAATCATGCATCTGAAAATCAAGCTGAAATTCCCAACAGAACTTTTACCGTGGCCACAGCACCAGTGTAGGTTCGTGGAATAATCATCCTCAACAGAAAAGGCCAAAGAATATGCTGTACAATCCAATATCAATTCAAAAGAATTTGTGGGTAAAATTAGCAAATAGAGAATTAAAAGAAATAATGAGCCCACAAAAACAAGTGAAAAATTTTTATCAATAAGGAAAAGAAATAAAACTTACCTCCATTTCAGGAATCGTAATAGTTACCAAAAGCAGACCTTTTTCACAAACTGCTCTTAACTCACTAGGAGTAACTGCTCCAATTTTCATCTAAGAAGGATCGTCAAAACTTAGGTGTCTATGATAAATAAAATAAATGTATCATAGAAGAGAGGAGGAAGAATAACTATAACAATGAACGTTCAATTGAAAGTTGAACTAGAGACTAGAAAGCTCAAAACGACAGAGTCTTCCAATCATATCAACATATGAAAGTTCTCCTAAAGCACTGAAAACATTGGGGTAAAGAGGACTATATCCAAGAAAGTAAGAAGTACACACACAATTTGGTATTAAGCTCCAAGATATAACCATATTTTACTAAAAATTCACAAGAATTCTTGGCAATTCAAAGATATGAACTTTGCTTGTTTTTTTTGCTTTGAGGGAAGGGGGAGAGAAAGTACCTCTATTCTCTTGTTTGGTATGTTCTCGAGATCACTCCTATTGTGATCAGTTATAGCACAATGGCGTACAAGATATTCAATGAACAACTCTCCAGACGAACCAACCAAGTAACAGTGAGAAGCCATAACCACAATTAACTATAAACAAAGGAGGAAAGACTGAGAAGCCAAAATATATTGACCTATTACTGAAAGACGGTATTGTCTCATTTAAATATTAAAAAACCAACACAGAACTTACCTCAGATAGTGCCTTTCGAACAGCTAAATTCTGCTCCTCAAGCAAGGACTTTACAGCTTCGACTAGTAGAGATATTTTACTATGCCAAGCTTCTGACAGCCTTCAAATTAGAATTATAGATTACATTGTTATTAATATATATGAATAACTACCATCAGGAATAGAGGAGGCAGGANGCCTAACAATTTAACTCACAAACAATGATTAATCATAAGCTACTAATTTCATATTCTGCAGTGAACCTGAATATTACCAGTACAAATACAATTTCATCTGCCTTATTATGTGTATATAAGATAAAATATAAAGCAAACAACTTCTCAAGTAACAGAAAGCAATATTTAACATGTGTTTCTATTCCATTTACAAAAGAGAACACTTAATGATAGAGCATTGATACCGGTGCAGAAGTGCGGTGTGTTCATCATCAGAAGCATAAAGTTCATAATGTTTGGCAAAAACATTTCCAAGAGACATAACCCAATCTGCATCTTGAATCACATCCAAAGATTCTGCAAGAAACTGCAGCCCAAAAATAGAGGTCATACATTAGCTTTGAATAACCACAATTTGTATACTGATCCATCATTGTATTTTTTCTTATCAACATAAACAATTTGAAACATGTTTGATCACTTCAGTAGAACTATCATAATGCAGTTCACAATTAACCTATTTGAAAAAATATTTTAGTTGCAAACAAACTAAATACTCCACCTACTTGAACAAAAATAGCTCATGCATTGAACAGAAAGTTTGCCTTCATGACAAGTACTTCTTACAAATTATTGAACTATTTATTATACAGTTGAACAACGTGAGGGTAGGATGTTAAGCAATTCATTCACACTCACATTGATAATCATGTCATCCCAAGTGTCTTGATATGACGGATCCTGCTTTAAGTCCTCTGTATCACTAACATATGCCTTCATCTTTGGAATCTAGAGCTTACCCAAATACAGAAAATAATTACACTTTGGTCTATAATAATCATCCTGAAATTTTAAGTTATAATGTAACTGATTCAAAATAGCATATTACAACAAAACTATATTTTAAAATGAACATAAGTATGTGAAGCTTTTTGATTATTTCTCAATAACAAACAGACTTATGCAGGCAGACACATTAGATACAAAATTATAAAACTGCTAAAGTGTTTTCTTCATCTAAAACTTTACAAGACAAGAAAGCCTAGCAAAGCACAAAATTTTATGATTCAACATTCTCAGAATATTTGAATGACTTCACTTAAGGAGCTTATATAGGCTTATTACAATAATTACACATATATAGAGAAATTTAGAATCCTCTAAATCCAAAATGGCCGGCCTATAAATCCAATATATTCACTTATAAACAATACTATTATAAATAGAAGATAATTTATTACAATTTCAACAAGCACAATTAAGATATTTAAATGCAAGACCTTCACCAATATTTATTTGCTCAACTTGGACATGCTTCAATAATGATGTATAACCAAAAAACTTGACTGAATGTCAACCTCTAACAAAAGGTAAAGAAATTCACAAAGCACTGAAGATTTAAACCGGATAACATATAATTTTTAGCAAAAAATGTTACCTCATCTTGCCAAAACAAATTAATATTTTTTGGAAATAGAGGTGCCAAAAGACATAGAACCTGCAGAAAATATGTTTACATGTCATCCAATGGAATGTGTGCAACTAAATTTGAGAAAAAAAGAAAAGCTTAGTGAATGACACCATCAACCAATAAAAAGAATTCATAAAATACATATTAAAATAACATTCCAAATAGTTTGAGCGACCATTCCGAAGAGTTGAGACTTGGCCTCAATCTAATGGCCCTTTTACCATCATGTGTAAGATATATATTTAAAAATGTATAAAAAATCCTTAAACATAACAAGAATATAATGTAAATCCAAATTAAAAGCACGTTTCTTAAACTGTCATTGTCAAAATAAAACAATTATAAATCGTTGTCATCATAAATTAGTTTCCATTATTTAGATTTGGAAATACCACTATCAATCTCATTAGGTTCTCAAAATGATTCGTAAATAGAACAATTTCCATCTTTGCTTTCCAAGATCATCGTCACTTCACCAGTTGTAGTTTTATTGCATATAAATATTTTAAAGATATGGACATTTTTCCAACATGTATCAATGATGTATCCAAAAGTATCAGTATATAACATGTGAAAGAAATAAAATATTGAAGTTTCACAGATTTTGATACTTCATTGACATGTATCAATGAAGTAGAGTATTTGGAATAGACTAACCAAATTGAAGTATAAGTATTTCATAGATGTTTTTATAAGATACTTCTTGGATATTTCTAGTATACTTCCAAATACAAATAAAAAAAGTATTGAATCTTTTGGCATCTAAACTTTAAAGGTTTTTTCTAGGATATGGTTTGGTTGCTTGAAATAGTATCTAAAAAGTTTATCTTGAAGCTTCTTGAGCTTGTCATATGTTTGGTCATGTTATGATAAAAATTGGAGAACAAATTCCATCTCAGTCTTTGAAAAGAAACAATGTATCCAAAAAAGACCTAATATTTGGTTATATGTTCTCGAACCTTCAACGTTTGTCTAGAAAAGATGAAGGTATTATTGTATAAAAAAGGACAAGAAAAGATGAAGGTATTATTGTATAAAAAAGGACAGACAAGGTTGATGAACATTTGTGGAGATATATCCACATGATGATAGTTGTTGTAATTAAAAGAAATATCTATAGAATCTTCTTAGAGAAAATATATATAGAATCTTCTTAATTAGAAAAAATATTTGTAGGATATTCTAGATTATTTTTCAGTATATTGTTTCCTTATTTCTCTTTTTTAGAAGAGGTAAGGAGAATGTAATTGATATGAATGAAAATAATAAAGTCACTCTCTTTTCCAAGTATAGCATTGGGCTTCTTGATTTGGCAAAGTTCACTCTTGAAGAACTAAACTTAGAAGCTATGTGTTTTCTAAATGATGGTAACAGAGGATAAAAGGATAGAAGAATGATACAATTAGCATTAGACAGTAATTTAGCAAAGCTTCTAAAGTCTGTAGGCTATTATAGAGTCAATACTTGTTAAGTTATATAGAAGATGTTTTTATTGATACAATAATCACAGAAGAAATATCTAGTTCCTAATAGCATTAACGAAACTATTCAACAAACATGTTAACTTCTTCATGTTTTAGCCCAAAGCTAATAAAAGTTTATTTTTTTGTCCATGGATTGGTAAATGTTAGTATATATACGGAATTGCAACATAAAAAAATCATGCTGAAGGCCTCTATATGTGACAATATATATCAAAGAAGAATTTATTGAGAAATATTATGAAGATATTAAGGGATGTCATTAGCTCACTGTCAAAATTTGAGTGGCCAATTGTTCCCTTGCCAGAGGATTATGCAAAAGCACCACCAAGCGAGCCAGAAGTTCCTGCATCAAGCATAAATTATTCAACCAGGCAATATGTGCTGATACAGGAAACAGTGGTTCTTTTTTAACAATTGAAAGTGAATTATAAATATTAAAAAAAATTCAAACTATTAGTGATATCCTACCTCAGCAATTGGTATATCAAGACGGGTTTTACACTCACTCAACATATCATTGCTATATGACCTATGCCGCCACAATTCTGAGATACACCTGCAAACCTGTAAAGTAGTAATGATGTCATTTCATTTGCCAAAGAAAAAATTCTGCAAAAATACAAATTCAATTTTGCAGTAAATTTATACTTCCAGATAATTTGCAAATCATACAATGAATGGATAAAATTAATCATGCATCTGAAAATCAAGCTGAAATTCCCAACAGAACTTTTACCGTGGCCACAGCACCAGTGTAGGTTCGTGGAATAATCATCCTCAACAGAAAAGGCCAAAGAATATGCTGTACAATCCAATATCAATTCAAAAGAATTTGTGGGTAAAATTAGCAAATAGAGAATTAAAAGAAATAATGAGCCCACAAAAACAAGTGAAAAATTTTTATCAATAAGGAAAAGAAATAAAACTTACCTCCATTTCAGGAATCGTAATAGTTACCAAAAGCAGACCTTTTTCACAAACTGCTCTTAACTCACTAGGAGTAACTGCTCCAATTTTCATCTAAGAAGGATCGTCAAAACTTAGGTGTCTATGATAAATAAAATAAATGTATCATAGAAGAGAGGAGGAAGAATAACTATAACAATGAACGTTCAATTGAAAGTTGAACTAGAGACTAGAAAGCTCAAAACGACAGAGTCTTCCAATCATATCAACATATGAAAGTTCTCCTAAAGCACTGAAAACATTGGGGTAAAGAGGACTATATCCAAGAAAGTAAGAAGTACACACACAATTTGGTATTAAGCTCCAAGATATAACCATATTTTACTAAAAATTCACAAGAATTCTTGGCAATTCAAAGATATGAACTTTGCTTGTTTTTTTTGCTTTGAGGGAAGGGGGAGAGAAAGTACCTCTATTCTCTTGTTTGGTATGTTCTCGAGATCACTCCTATTGTGATCAGTTATAGCACAATGGCGTACAAGATATTCAATGAACAACTCTCCAGACGAACCAACCAAGTAACAGTGAGAAGCCATAACCACAATTAACTATAAACAAAGGAGGAAAGACTGAGAAGCCAAAATATATTGACCTATTACTGAAAGACGGTATTGTCTCATTTAAATATTAAAAAACCAACACAGAACTTACCTCAGATAGTGCCTTTCGAACAGCTAAATTCTGCTCCTCAAGCAAGGACTTTACAGCTTCTACTAGTAGAGATATTTTACTATGCCAAGCTTCTGACAGCCTTCAAATTAGAATTATAGATTACATTGTTATTAATATATATGAATAACTACCATCAGGAATAGAGGAGGCAGGAACCTTGGCAAAAGATGCTTCAAAATGCAAAGAGCACCAAAAGTCAATGGTTCTTCCCTCAATCTGCATTTCTGGAAGCAGGTACAATAGAGACACATATGCATTATTTGTAAATATTACAAGAAACACAAAAAAGTATTGTTCAACTTGGAAAAAGAAAATAGATAGAGAAAACAAGGAATAAAAAATACTGACAATAAAATGCCCTTTTGGACTGAACATGCGAACATCATTTAAAGTTTAAAGGTTAAAATGCTTTTTAATCCTTATTCCCTAACGAGGAACTAAAACCATATTACTTTTGATAAACGTATGTACTAGAATATTTTACCATAAGTGATGTGATTTTACTCATTAGGGAGTAAAACAAATGCTTAAGATAAAAACTAGGTACTACTTTGAATTTACTTTATTTATGGACAAAAAAGCAAACTAAATACACCCAAAACTGAGGTTTGAAATTTGATGACCTTAACTTTAATTGATAAGTTTTAATAGTTATAAATAGCCACCTAGTTTTAATCCCATTTGTTGGTTTCAAAAACTTCAATAAATTTTGAACAATATAGGTTTTTTGTACTTACTAAAGAAAACATACCAGCCAAAAAGGAAAAAATAAAGACAAAAGAAACAGCATCCCCTGTTTCTATTCAAGCTTCTTCAAGAAATTTAATTAATTTATCCTGATGTTTTATTTGTTGACTTTATCTATATTCTACTATTATATTATTCCTCTTTTATTCTTCGTAAATTTTATTTTTTAATCAACAAGGTAGGGGCCAAAAGAAAAATTACTTTGAATTAACACCATACAGAATTACAAGCATACTACCAATTTTTAAGTACTTACATTCACAAGGAACAAAAACAAATCATCTGGATACACCAAGCCAACGGTCAGAAAGCAATGCTGAACCTCATTATACATCTGTGACACATAATTGAATAAATTAAATGTTTACCTCTTTTACTCTGGATAATGAAAAAGGTAAAAATTATTCTAAATTGATATTCTCAGTGATTAACTAAAGATGCATCCACCCTCAAATATTAGTAGGTTAAGATTATGACACACTTCATATTGAAGATGTATACATCTTAACCATTATTAACTTCGGAGATAACTTAATATTAGAGGACACCCTTATCTAAAAGAAAACCAATAAAAGCAAAAGTACTGGCACAAAGCCAAATGAAAGCCTCCAATGAAATCCACAAAAACACGAACAAAATGGAGAATTATCATCTCAAAAAGATTCTCTAGGGTCCAAACCCTTTCCGTGCATCATAGAGAACCCATTAAAAATCCACAGAATCTAATCCCGATGAGGCTCCACTAAAATGAGCAAGAGTGTACCGACCCACTCTCGGTTTTAATCTAAAACACATTGTGCTCTTAATCCACTAAAAATTGTATGCGTAGATACACCATTCCTTACCCAGAAGAGCTTTAATTCTAGCCCATAAGGAAGTGAAAGAATACAACTCTATCTTAAAATAAGAGACAAGTTATTCAGGCTAAAAAAGCTAATAACAAATTCTAGAAAAATATACCATCCCACAAAAAAGAACATCTTTACAAAACCATAATGATAAATTCCACTGACCTACACAACCACTATAACCCCACATTGCAAAAGGCACCCATAAAAAAGTAAACTAATTATTATACCTGCAGTTGGAACCTAAGTCCAAGAAACAAAAGGAACATAACAAATATATGCTAAAAAGAATTGCACTACTAAATTCAAAGCATAAAAGTTGAGTTGGTAAAAAATGGAATAAAGATAGACCATTGTAGCAACAGGTGCAACAGTCGTTATCATATTCAAACAACTTATGTTTCCAACTAATGAAATCGATAGTATTACCTTTAGTCCCACAGAATAATCTGATTGGTCTTTGCCGTCATTATTCGTAGATATCACAGGTAGAAGTGTTGATAAAACAATAGTCAAATCCTGCAAGCAACGATTTTATTTAATTTCACAAGTGATAAAAGTACAGCAACATATAGCACAAGTTTGGAATGTGTCCATGATTCAGAGAGAATGATAGTGTTGCACTTGCATACATGCATCATTGAAATGGTGATTCGTAAAGCATCAAGAAGATAAAATAAGAAATGTGTCAAATGTTTTAAGGGACAATAAATCTTGACCACCAGTTTCAAAAAGCTGTTGCACTGTCAACCAGACAGCATGCCTATTAGGGCTCAATAATGAAGCCTCAGAAATCTGCAATCCATGTCCTCCACTGTGGCTTTAACTTCAATTGTCTCATGTTTTCCAAAATTTTCTGACATTGGTTGAATCCAGAAGCTCTTCTCCTTTAATTCACTGTTGGCTCTCTCTTGTTTATATTAGACCCAAAAGAATCATAAACTCTCCCTCCCCCAACCCTGGCCAGATAATGTTTGTCTAATTTGTGAATGCAGCATACTTCTCTTATAGTCTATAACAAAGTCTGCATAGAAGTTCTTTTTTCTCACACGCTAGGCATATGGCACCTTAGAATCCCAACTAGATTAGCACCCCAAAGCTCAGCAATCATATGCCATTACATGAGAATCCATAACAAAAACAAAGAAAAAAGAATACAAAAAACATGGGGTAGCACACCAAAACCCATGCCAAAAGAAAATACACCCATAGAAACAAGGTAACACATAACACCAAATGCTTAGCCAAACCTAAATTCAGGAAGGCCATATCTATTCCTAAAAAAATCAACACTTCATTAACATAATTTATTTATATATTTATTCCACTTTATTTTATAGTTTTTTTTCCATGTAGTTATTTGTTCCTTTTTTATCTTTATTTTGACTTCTGAATACCACTAAATTAAATTTTTGCATTCTAATATATTTATCATTTCCTATGCACTGATTCAATGGGTTATGAACCACTGTTTCTCAATTATCTGGTTGAAACAATTTTTAAAGCATTTGTTTTAACTTCTTTACACCCATAAATGGAGTTATAGCATTTGACACCACACTGCAGTATGATCATTGGATAATTTTGGCTATCATATTACGAACATACAATCCAATATGAACATCAGAAGATTATATATTTTTTGTGAAAGAACAAATTTAAACTAAACAACCACAGTCATCCTTCAAACCATAATCATTCAATATTCAAAGCCTCATTCATTTACAATTTACTATGAGCATTAGATTAGTGACATATACCAAGGCATTACAATTTCTTATTTACATAAGCAGATATTCCAGTATGCTTATGAAGCTGTCCCCTCATTCCTACTAGAAAAGGGTAGAAATTGCTTTAGAGATGACCACATTACCAGCAGAACAACAACAACCCAGTTAGCCCTCCTTTCCCATGACGATAAGGAAATGCAGGTATATAGGAGATGGTAGAAATACAAGTGCTTAACCCACACAACAAAAGAAAAATAAAGGTAAAGATTTTCAAACAATGTATAGATGTTCATACTACATCCTAAAGTAAGCAGTGACTCTCCCATCACTTAAATGATATGCAAACAAATCAAATACAAATTTTTAAGGTTTGATTGAAAATTACCACATAACCAGAAGTATGATAAAAAAATTCTAACATACCATGAAACGTTTTAAACAAGAACATTATAGTATTCATACCTCAAAATCAAGCATAGGAGGACCACTTTCGGACAACAAAGAGGCATTTAGCAGATTGTGGAGACTGCATGTAGCCAAAAAAGCTATATCTTGATCTTTTTTATACCTGACATAAGAAGATATGAATATGAATCCATCTAATAATACTAGTTGATATTTTAAGTGTCTTCATATTTTAATCTAGTGAGAAATCACACATTAAAGAGAAAAAAAAAACCAATTAAATATGAACAATAGATAACTAAAATATAAAATGCTTTAAAGACCATACTTACAAGTCCAATATTGTAGGGATAAGCCTTGGTAGGGCAGTCTTTAACTGTGCTCGTGTTATGAGACCTACCATCTGCCCCAGTGCTTCTACAGATGCCACACGAACCTAAAACGAAATAAGTTTAAATAAGACAAAGATCAAAAACAATCAAGTAAAAAAGTCATAAATTATACACTAAAATACTCATCTATGTTCATCAACCACACAAACAGAACATGTTCAGAAACTTAACTTTTATAGATGTATCAGCAAAAAAAGGATCCAGAAAATTATAAAGACTCCTATAAGGAGCAGAATGCAAGAACAGAAGTAAAGAAAAATAGTAGTGACCTTAAGGTCTCTTGAAGCTGCCCAAACTCTCAACAAAAGCTCAAAAGCTGAATTTAGAAATGACCTGCACTACATAGAGAATTAGAGATATTTCACACCTTCAGATAAGAAATAAAGGGAACAAGATGTGTTGAATCAGAAAATAAACTAGAAGACTGTATATTGATCTCACATGACATCAGCATCTTGAGGAAAATGTGAAGGAAAGTCTATACTATATTGCCAAGACGCTTGACACCAACACTTAAATGCTGCAAAAAATGATAAATTATGAGTTAACTGGATCAGATTATCAGTAACAATAACATCTTTGAGCAATAGTTATCCAAAAATCATCCTCCCCCATTCGCCTACCATAAAAAATGAAAGCTCAACACAAAAGGATCATAAATTTTCAAAATTTATATTTTAAAACAATTTTCAAAATTTATATTTTAAAACAATTTTAAAATATTTCAATGATGTATCAGCCATAATATAACACATTACCAACTAAACCTAGAGTGAACTTTAAAAAAACGTACAAAGAAAATAAAATCACCAAAATTGGCATGCTCCAAAACCAAGTAGCCAAGATTTTTCACGTCCATGCTGATAGAAATCTCCAATTTTACCATCCATTCAAAATGTTAGCCTACTAATAACACCAATTTATCTTAAAATGTTTTTTGGCCAAGGTCTCTTTGAAATATTGTCATCATAAATCACTTCCAATTATTTACAAAATGGAATAGTACTAGTAATCTCATCTGGTTCTTCAAATCAACCATAAAGAGGACAGTCACCTTTCTTGTTCACAAACGGACAGTGCTTCCATGGTTCCATATTGTATGTTTATATTACAACCAGCGTAGTTGTACTAGATTTTCAAACAAAAATTATAAGCCTTGATTCTTAACAAATAGGTATCAATGAAGTATCCAAGAGTATCAAAATTGGTTACATATACGTGAAGCCAATCAAAGTACTATCCAGTGCTTCATAAAAGACATAAAGATAGAAGAAACATATCCATCAACAACGTAACAGAAAAATCACCATACCATTTGCAAAAATCGGGCGATGCATTTCTCGTACATTCCAAGAATTGGCAAAATTCGGGAAATGTACACCTTTTCCCAAGGCGTGGAATGAACTGCAAGTGGCTGTATCAGATTTATATGGAAGAAAAACCTCAGCGTTTACAATTGAATGTGGTGATCCCACAGAACAAATTTGGCAGCTGATGTACATAGTTAAAATTGATTAACTAAGAATCAGTAGAAGCAATTCTGCAAGGATTGAACCATAGCCTTTAACTGCTGAATTGGTCCCCAGATAAATTAAGAAACTTTCTTCCATCATCTGCACCCCAATCCCGGGAAAGGTAGATCAAAGACATAACGATCAAAAATCCAGGGAAAACTAAGGGATGGTGCAAAAACAGAGTTATATATAATAATATATGAAGGCAGTGGTACATCCCATGAAAGTAAAATGAATGGGAGATATTACTTTAGCTTGATAGAAAAATACTTCAATAATTCCAAGTACAAGGATAAAGTAAAACTATGGAGTACGGACAACAGTTCTTAACTTATGATTCAACTGGTAAAAAAGAAACTGTACTACAGTAGGGTTGCATGCAACTGATCTTTCTTTCTCTTGGTCATACTTGTTTCAATGGCTCTGTAAACCTATCTTTCCATTCTTATCGAACTCAATTTTTTTAAATAACAACAAAAAACCAATTTCAATATTTAAAAAGAAAAAAGATATCTTACGAGATCAGGTAAATGTGAGCCTATTGCAACAAGTAGGCTTGTTGCTGCTCGTTGCCAGTCAGAATTTAGTTCCTGCAGAAAACAATCACTGTGAATTAAATAAAGCATTAGCTGAAACTTAGCAATCTGGTAAAGCCATAAGCTCAAATATTCTAAGATGACCATGATATCAGAAAATAACACACAAGGGAGGATCCAATAAGAGTATAATAGACTTGGATATGTTTAGATAAACTTCTCCATCAACAAGGGCTTACCATCATTTCAAATAAAGGAAAGACCAGAAATATGAGGAGTACTCATCTAATATAGGTCTCAAATACTATGAGAAAAAGAAAATCTATGTCGCATAATCATGTGATACTAATGGTGACTTTGGTGTGAAGAAATGAAGAGGGTAAAATTAATGTAAGCTGTTTAGTAGGAGAGAAAGAAGGAGAAATAATTATAAAAACAAGCCAAATCCCTTTTTTATTTCTCACTTATCTCTACACATCTCTCTCGCCACGTCCCTGTTATATTTTCTTCAACCAAACCCATGTAACTTTATTTCTCAGGTATTTTCACTCATCTTTTTCATTTGCATCTTTTTCATTTCCATCTTTTTCATTTCCACCTTACTCGTTTCTCTCTTCCCCTCAAAAACAAGGCATAAAAGTTGACAATAGTAGTTTATTGATAAACCCAACACAACAAAACACCACAATAAGACAATATTGTTTTGGAAAAAGTCTAATATAAGATAAAAACTCTAACAAATAATACCAAATCTAAAACCCTAATTTCAAACCTTGAATCACTATTTGTTCAACAATCTCTTAGATGAACACCCATGAATAGTGCTTATCTATCAAAAAATAATTATGTCAACCAGCTTAATAACATCCAATCCCCAAAAATCAGACAGTTTTTCTTAGGAAATCATCTTTCAAATTTAAATAAACATAGTCATGGTCACCTTAAGCTTCCTTACCTCTCTTACTACAGAGGACAGTAAAACAAATCAATCGAATGTTAAGGTAACACCAATTATCAAACCTTCTAATCCTCGACTCTCTTGTCTGGATCTTAAATTGACCATGGGGGGGGCCAATTGCCGTATCACAGATAACATCCATATTACGTGTCAGTCAGATAAATTAATTTCTATCAAAGTAGGCACATATAGAGGTGTTTGCAATTGGGAGACATATGCCACAATCGTCCAAGATTCACTAATCTGGTGCCAAGTTCAGGAAACCCAGCTTGCGTCTGGTATCTTTTATGAGGTTAGAAGGTTTGATAAGTGGTGTTACCCAAACTGTGACGGTATAAACCTTCTATCAACAGGTCCAGCATGTAAGCTGTCGTTTTTTTTTTGTCCTCTAGTAAAATGAATTTCAATTTTGAAACCCATTATATTTGTCCATATGGACAATGAAGGGGGAGGGACCAGCCACATTTCGAACCTTGAATCCACTCTTTGTTCACCATCTTCTTAGATCAACAACCCGGATGGTGCTTATCTATCAAAAAAAAATTCTGTCAACCAACTTAACACCATCCCAAAAATCAGACAAGCTTTTTTTTTAGGAAATCATCTTTCAAATTTAAATAAACATCGTCATATCACCTTAAGAAGCTAGCTCCTTCCTTCTGTTACTGTAGGGACAGTAAAAAAAACAACTCAAACGAATGTTTTAGGTAACACCAATTATCAACCTTCTAATTCCTCGACTCTCTTGTCTGATCTTAAAATTGACCATGGCCAATGCGCATCACAGATAACACCCTTTACGTTCAGTCAGATAAATTAATTTCTATCAAAAGTAGGCAGATATAGAGTGTTTGCAATTGGGAGACATATGCCACAATCGTCAAGGATTTAATAATTTGTGCCAAGTTCAAGAAACAAAGTTGCGTTCTTGGTATCTTTTATGAGGGTTAGAAGGTTTGCTAATTTGTGTTACCCAAATTGTGAAGGTAAAAACCTTCTATCAACAGGTCCAGCATGTAAGCTGTCCCTTTTTTTTTGTCCTCTAGTAAAATGAATTTCAATTTTGGGGGAAACCAATTATTTGTCCATATGGGACAATAAGGGGGAGGGAACAGCCACATTTCAAAACTTTGAATCACTATTTGTTCAACCATCTCAGATTAACACCCGAATGGTGCTTATCTATCAAAAATTATGTCAACCAACGTTAACATCCAATCCCAAAAATCAGAACAGCTTTGTTTTGTAGGAATCATCTTTCAAATACATAAAACATAGTCATAGTCACCTTAAAGCTTCCTTACTTCTGTTACTGTAGTGACACGTAAACAAATCATCGAATGTAGGTACCACCATTTAATAAACCTTCTAATCCCGACTCTCTTGTCTGGACCTTAAATTGTGACCTGGCCAATCAGCATCACATTACATCCATACTAACACTACCCCACACCCCCCCACCCCCCTATACTACACCCCCACAACCCCCCCCCCCACCCCCCCCCCCCACCACTATACTACACCCCCCCCACCCACCCCCCCCCCCACATCCATACTAACATCTAACTAACCACCCCACCCACCCACCCCTAACTAAACTACCCACCCCCACCCACTACCCCCCCCCCCCACACCCCACTAACCAACCCCGCCACCACTATACTATAACCCCACCCCACAACCACCCCCCACCCCACTAAACACCACCAAACAACTACCCCGCCCCCCAAACCCCCTCCCACACAACTACTACCCATACTAACTATCACAACTACTCTACCACACCCCCCCCCCCCTCCCCCCCACCCCCCCCCATAATACCCCCCCCCCCCCCCACCCGCTCCCAATCTCTAGCACATATACTACCACCCCCTCCCCCTACCTAATCTCTATCTCCCCCCCCCCACACACCCACACCTCCCCCCTCTCCCTACCCCCCCCAACCCCCCCCCCCCCCCCCAGACCTCCCATAACCCCTTCGCACTCGCTCCCCCCCCCCCCACCACACCCCCACAAGCCCCCAACCCAATACTCATCCCTATTCTACCCCCTCCCCCACCAACCACCCTCCTGCCCCCAAACCCCCTCCACCCCCCCTCCCATCACACCCCCCCACCCGACTACTTTCCTACCCTCCCCCCCCGCCCTGCCCATCCCCTCCTACTACAGCCGTCATTAACTCTTACTACGCTCCCTCTCTCACTCACTCCCCCCGCCCTCACCCACCCCACCCCCCCTATCCCCATCCCTCCTCCTATCCACCCCTTCCCCTTCCTTCTAGCCTCCTGCCATTCTAAAATCCCACCCCCCCACCCCACTACCCCCCCCCCCCCCCAATAAACTAACTAACTTACCCCTCACGCTTCCCCCACGCCCCCCCCCCCCCCCCCCCCCCCACCCTCTCCCCACCACCCCCCCCCACCACCCCCAACTAACCCACCCCCCGGGCCTACCCACCCCTTCACCACCCCCCCACCCGCCCCTCCCCCCCCCCCCACCTTCCCCCGACCATCTTACCAACCTCTATCTAACACTACCCTACCCAACCCCCCACCTCCAACATCACACCCCCCCCCCCACCCCCCCCCCACGCCCTTCCATTCACCCCCCCCCAAACCACTATCCCCCACCATCCCCCACCCTTACTAATCTCCCCCTCACTAACTTAACTACCATCCCAACACTACTACCCCCCCCCCCCACCCCACCCCCCACACCTCACCCCCACTATCCCCCCCCCTCATACTATACCCCTCCCCAACCCAACTATACCCCTCCCCCCCCCTCCATCCCCCCATACTATATCCCCACCCTCCCGCACCCACCCCCCTCCTCCGCCCCCGATACCCCCAACCCCCCCCCCCTCCCCCCTTACCCCCAAACTACATCCCCCAACCCCTACCGCCCCCGTCACCCACGCCACCCCCCCCCTCATTCTCCCCGGGCCCCCCTTCCGCCCCACACCCACCCTCCCCCCCCCTAATCCCTTTCCCATCCTACCCCCTCCTACTATACTACTCTACTCTAACAGTCAACTCCCCCGCACTCCGATCTCCCCCCGACTTTCCCTCCCACCCTTCCCTCCCCACTCCCCCACTAATACTACCTCCCCCCCCCCCTATCGATCTTACTTCTACCCCTTCCCAATACCCCCCATCCTCCTTCCCTTCACCCCCCACACAACCCCCCCAACCCCGATCCCCCCCTCAACCCCCCCCCCCCAAACCCCACCTCCACAGCCCCCCCCCTCACTATCTTGACCTATCTACTGCTCTCTACTATCCCCACATACTACCCCGCGAACCTCTCCCCCCCAACTACTACCACCCTTAACCCTCCTCCCCCTTAACCCCTCTAACCCCCCGTCAATATCCTCATCCCATCCTACTAACTAAAAACCCCCACCACCCCCCCCCCCACTAATCCCCCCCCCACCCCCAACACCCCTCCTCCCCCACACCCCACACCCCCCCCCCCCCCCCCAGCCCCCCCCCGCCACACCCCCCCAGATAACCTTACACCCCCACCCACACCCCCCTCACCCCTCCTACCCCACATCCCACCCCCTATACCTACTAATAAACCCCCCCCCTCCCGCTCACACCCCCCCCCCACCCCCCCCCCCCCACCCTCCACCTAACTATATATTACCCCTTCCTCCCCACTCCCCCACCCACACAACGTACCTAAATACCCCGTGCCCACCCACCCCCGCCTCCCCTTCCCCCCCCCCCTCCAAACTCGATCCCTGCCACTACCTCGCTTCCCCCCTCCTCACTTTAAACCTACAACCCCCGCCCCTCCCCCACCCTACCAACTATACTACCCATCCCCAACACCCCCACCCGTCGAACGTGTCCGTCAGATAATTAATTTCCTACCAAAATAGGCAGATATAAGTGTTTGCAATTGGGAGACATATGCCACAATCGTCAAGGATTTAATAATCTGTGCCAAGTTCAGGAAACAAAGCTGCGTTCTTGGTATCTTTATGAGGGTTAGAAGGTTTGATAATTGGTGTTACCCAAATTTTGAAGGTATAAACCTTCTATCAAAATGTGGAAAAGCATTGTTAAAACTTAAAAGGTAATCCTCTTACGTTGATAAAAAAGAAACAAAAATTAAACGTATCCTGCATCAATTCAAAACGGCAAAAGTACCATGCGATCAATTCAAGCCCGCTGACATCTCCATATACGCGCTCCCTCTATTCTATAATTAGTTTGAGTTGGTGCGAAGTAAGACCGAGTCTCCAAAAAACCACACGCAAATTAACTTACTCCTACTAAGCCAACAACATAAATAAAAGTGACTGTCACTGAATTGTGTCCATTACTATTACTACTGCAGCTAGCTACTCACTCCTGCAAGAAAGCAGAAAACAAAGCACCTTAGAGGAAATCAGCTCCGCGGTAGCAATCTTAGCTAGCTCGCCAAGAAAGCAGAATCAACGTCTCCTTGTGTCAAGAGACCGAACGCGACGCCATCCTTGGAAAACTCCAGCCATGTTCCCGAACCGCTGAAAGACCACAAAAGAGAATTAAAATAAATTAAAGAATGGAATAATCGAGTAAAACCTAAGCATCGAATGAAAAACAAGATAGAAGAGAACGAGAGAGTGAAAACGCACCCGACGTCCACCACGCGACACGACGGCACAGCAATCAAAGAACAAGAAGAGGATTCCTGAGAAAGACGCAAAGAATTGTGAGGATGAAATAGGAAGCGAAATTGAAGAAATGCAACCAAAAAAAGAAGTGATTACAGCGCGGCAATGTTCTTGAGAGAGGACATGGAGGCCTCTCTGACGGAGGAAGAGTCATCGGCGAGCAAGGAGAGAAAGAACCTGCACGCGCCTCTGGCAAGAAAGAAATAATGTATGATTGCATTTAGATTAAAAGAAAAGTGATTTACCGAATGTTCGGAGAAGGAGAACGTACCGGATGCGGGAAATCGAAGTCTAGGAAGCCATGGGGCAATTGGAAGGTGCGAGAATCGCGAATGCGAGAGCAACATAATAGAGAGAGGAGTGGGTATGGTGTGGAGACGTGCCTCTAGACGCCAGGACACAGACAATGCTGCGCTGGTTATGTCATGCCTTCCGGAAATTAAATATAGTACTCCTCTCTTTCTTTCCCATTTAATATTATGGGTTCCGTCCCATCAACCATCAACACAAGAACATTTCTTTACTTTTTTTTGTTAGAATTTAAGATGCACTCCTCCTCTTCCCCCGAAAAACAAATTTTTCTAACAGCTAAAATGATTGGAAACTGTTTTTTAACAGCACAATAACCTATGTTACAATTAATTACAATTAATTACAATTAATAATGTGTTCATAATTAGTTATAACAGCTTTAATCAATTTTAAATAATTATGACAAAAATATTTATACTCAAAACCAATAAAAAGTTATTGTTTAATATCAATTTAAATATTTTCATAAATCTAAAACTTTATTATAGATAATAATTTTGGGGGTAAATTAAATACTAATAAATTTGAATTTTCAACACTTATTTACTCAAAAAGCTCTTTATAATAAAACTTTTTTAAAGTAACGCAGAACTCAAGTCATGTTTTTTTTTTCCAACCATGTAAAAGTCAGTAATTTATTATTTGTTGAAAATTTATAAGTACATGTCAAAAACAATGTTTAGATATAATTATTTATTTTTAACTTTTTATTTTTGAAAGTGCTTATTTATATGATATTTTTAAATAAAATAAAGAAAGTTAATGTGAACTTATTAAAAATATAAAGAATGTTGTTGTTTATTAAAAACATAAGGAAAGAGAATATTTATTTACAAATTAAAAATTATATTAATATAAAAGATAAATAATTTCTATTTTAAAATTAGTAGAAATATCATAGCAGTGTCAGATGTATCTTTTCTTATTTTAAATCGTTTATGAAAATAGGAAACAATTCCTATAAAAAAAATGCTTTTAGAATTCAAACATGTTTTATGTTGTACACATCCCTTATTTTTTTTGTTTGGTATATTTAAGAGTTTCCATTTTTCAAATAAAGTAATCATGAATTTTAACATCTCATCCAATATTACCATCACATAAAATTTATTAAAAAATTAAAAAAATATATGCAAACAAAAGATAAAAATTATATTTTACAAAACAAAATAAATTATATCTATTATAAAAATCTAAATTAATATATCAAGATAAAATATTAAACTACTTATTATTTATGAATCAAAACTAAATCAACTAAATTACCATCATAATAATTTCTCTCAACAAAAATATAATAAACTTTAAAGTGTATCCATTTATTTAAAAAAATACAAACATAAATAATTACCACCTCTCTATCCAGCTTTAAGAATCCACCAAGTTTACTGCTTGTTCTTCTCTCGTCTCTCTCTCATCTCTATCTCCTCTCTCTTCTCTCTCTCTCTCTCTCTCCTCTCTTGTTCCTCCTCTCCCGTCCCCCCCTCCTCTCGTTCTTCTCCTTCTTCCCCTCCTTCTTTCCCTCTCCCCTTCTCTCTGCCTCGTCCCTTCGCCTCCCCTGCCCCCCCATTTGCACTCTCTCTCCCCCCCCCCCACCCCCCCGCGCCCCCGCACTTTGTTGCCTTGCTCTCTTTCGTATCGTTTGTTTTCCACTTCCCTACCACCCTCACTTGATTCTTTTTAAATATTATTTTGATTGGAGGGTTAAAAAAAACAAAGAACGAGAAGGAAAAGATATAACACAACCTCAAATAAAAAATAAACATCAACATCATTAATTGTTTTGTTATTCAAATGAAAAACAAATGAATGAACAGAGTAAGAATAACAAAATACTGTGTTACGGGTTACTGTGTGGGTGAGAGAGAGGATGAAGATGAGAGATAAACAAATTGGATAAGTAAGAAAGGTGGATTAGTGTTAGACGAGTGTTTCTGATTTTTTTCATTTGGAGTTACGATAAGGATGATAGAAAGAATGTGGAGTGAGAGATAGAAAAAGAATTGAGATGAACGAGGGATGAGAGAGACGTAAATAAAGGTTTGTGAGTTTTTTGTTTTTTTTTTGTTTTAAGAATAAAAATTATTCAAATATCATTGACCTTAAAACTTAGTCCATAATATAGAAGAATATTTTTTTGTTTACTAAAATCCGGTATTTTTATACACATTACTAAAATATACCAATTAAAAAAACGCTTAGATATGTTAACAAATTCATATATGAATATTATATGTATACATACATATATATATATACATATATATATATAGATATATATATATATATATTATTATATATAGATATATATAAATATATTATATATATATATGGGGGTTTGCTAATTTATGTAAGGTCCTCTTTTAGTTAGTACATTTTAGCAAAATGTACTAAGTTTTAATAGACAAAAAAATCCAGAAAAAACATACTTTAAACCCAAGGCTATTTTAATAATTTTAATATTTAAATTAAAATAAAATAAATAAAAGTTAGTTATTTACTATCCATGACTTAATAACTCCCTTTTATTTTTTTTTATTTTAAAAAAACTAATAACTACTCATACACGGGACAACAATCATGGATGATAAATAACTACATGACAGCACCCATGGATGATAAATAACTACGTGTTAATAATCATGGATGATAGGGTTTAGAGTTTAAAATTTAGGGTCTAGAGTCTAGAGTCTAGGGTTTAGGATTTAGAATGTAGGGTTTAGTTTTTTTTAAATAAAAAAATAAAAGATAATTATTAAGTCGTGAATTGTAAATAACTAACTTTTATTTTAAATTAAATATTAAAATTATTAAAATATCCTTGGGGTTTAAAGTATGTTTTTCTTCAAATGGAGATTTTTTTTCCATTAAAACTTGATACACTTTGCTAAAATATACCAACTAAAAAATGACCTTACGTAAATTAACAAACTCATATATATATATATATATATAAGTGGAGGGCTTCTGGTTGAGAATATCTTTTTTAAGTGTCTAAAAATACGATTTACATTAAAATATTATGACATTTATATAATAAATACATTTTCTTAACTATAAGTGAAAATCGTGCAACGAAAAAATAAATGGAAATGTAGAGAATGCGTACATGACCACCATTACCATTATGAAAGAATAGTTTAGAATCGTTAGATGTATATAACTTTTAAAAGGTAGTTCAGATTTTTCCTTTTCCTTTTCTTATTTCTCTTATTTATCTTTTCCTTGTTTACCTTTACGTTCCTTGTTCAACTACTAAGCCCTCAACTACACACCATCACAGATCATGGTGTACCACAAGTCGTAGTAGTTCGCTTTTTTTTTTTCTTTTCCTCCTTTTATCTCCTTAACGAGGGCCCGAAAATCCCTGAATTTAAACCTCAAACCATCACTAACCATTGTATTAACACAATGTTGGTAGAAAATAAGGACGTGTCGAGAGAGAAAGTAATGTATTATATGTATTATCTCTGCAAGTATCTCTTTAGGTTACGGAGACCACAAGGTAAGTCATACAACTAAAAAAATGTATGAGAACACAACTAAAAAAATGTATGAGAACATAAAACTAATATAGTTTAATTTTGGTACATACACAAAAGTTTATTATACTGTGATCTGATGATAAAATACCGCGTTATTCAGCAAGTTTAGCACTGCAAATAACAAAATAATTAAATAACGTGTTTAGCACATCATTGTATAGCAAACATTTGAATTTGCTTCTTCAATCTGAAGTGATACAAATGGCCTTTTATCTTCTGTGGAATGGATGTGAGATTTTCTTCTCAAACAGTATTTCATGTTCCCTTTCGTCTTCTACTTATTCATTTCATTCTTTTGGCTTGTTCATTTCCTTCTCGTCATTTGGTTTTTTTCATCATGTTGGTATTATAGATTTTGTTGTAAATTTTGGCCGAATTGAATAAGACGCACATACGAGCCTGAATATTTGACAAATCATTTGCATCACCCACTGCTGTGAATCGCCAATAATACAGATTTAAGTGGTTGGGTAGTCACTTTGGTTTTCATCATCGATAGATAATGTTTCCCTGACAAGGTCACTTTTTTCTCTCATCTACAAATTTCTAGCAAAGATACATAAACTGCATTTGGAATTTCAAGCATGGTACAATAATGAACCTCTCAACGGATACTTCCAAATCAGAATATTTCAATTACTAATATCTTGATTTTTGACCAAATATTTCAATATGGTGGTTTAATAATTAACGTATATTTCCTCATAATAGATCAACAATCAACACTTACCAACTGTAATTATGAGTTCATCCCCCCCTTCATTTTGTCGGGTTCTATTGCCTTATTTTGACAAAAAAAAAAGTGAATAGGCGACCCAAAGATTTTTGTAAATTATACGACATATGACCATTAAGATAAACCCAAACTAAACAAATGGAAAATGGAGATTTTATTGGAGAACTAATCTGTTATTCCATTAAATTCTGATATGGTTTTTACATATAATAATGTAATATGAGACTACATGGTCCTACAAAATTTACAGAACTAATGGCAAATAAAAAAAGATTTTTTAATATGCATATTTCATGATAATTTATAGTTAAAGAAAGGAAATTTGGCTGCAAACATTTGAAATATGCATTACTCGTAATCGCGGTCAAAATTCAAAAGGGAGAACCGATTGGTGCTGCAAGGCCGAGGTACCGCATTATCTTTAACCGACGAAGCTTTCTTTCTGATTTCACTGGATATGTAACCTCCTGGAAAAGAATTTATACAATAAGCCCGTTAAAAACAAGTTCCAATAGTGATCATGCCACAGGTTCTAAATTATAAACTTACATCAAAGTGAACTTTGGGTTTACGTTCCCTTTTCCCTCTTCGTCTCTCTTGAAAATCATCACTTGTTTTGCTTGTCGTTCTAGAAGGGCAGTTATCTGTTCAAACCATAACTTCGTATTAAAAAGCAAAAAGAACAACCAAAAAGAATAAACCATTGCCAACCAGTAGATAGCTGTCGAATCTGACAAACACACAAGACATCAAGAACATTAAAAGATGCATGGATAAAAACAATGCACATGGGACTCTATGAAGATAAGTGCCCCACAATCCTTTGTTTGCTAAATAGAAACGTGACTAATCTTAATTAGAGATGTGAAAATGGATTTTGGGTTGAGTCAACCTGATTGATTCACCATGAGTTCCAGCTGATATGGGTTAAACTGAACTTGACTCACCTAACCCATGGATTAAATGGGTTCCAACTTGATTGAAGATGAGTTGATTCATAACTTGCCAACAACAATATTTTATTAATTTTTTTATTATTTTTTTATAAGTTTTTTATTATAATTATTTATTACTTCAAATTATATTGGTTCATAATTGATCTTCTTAAATACTAGAATGTTATTCAATAATGTTTTAATAATTTGGATGTTTAATTTATTTGTTTGCCAAGTTACTTTTTTTTTTTTATTTTATATATGTTGATACTTTAATTTCCAACTACTATCTTTATAGTAATATTTCGAGAATTAGGTGAACACTTTGATTTTCCTATTATAAAAAAAATTGAGTAAATACACTTTTATTGCACTGCAATAAATTTTTAGAATAAATTATAAAAATAAAACATTCCTAAGTAAGTCAACCCACTAATCCGTAGTGGGTCAAATCGGGTTACAAAATTTCTAGTTCACCAAAAAGTGAGTTGGGTAGAGCTTATCCTTTTTTATCTCAACCCATAATGAGCTAGCTTAGCCCGTAATGAGTTGGGTTGACTCACTTGACACCCAACTTGTCAGACTTCATGCCAAAAGGGCATTCAGTTGGGTTAGCCTCTTAGAACTTCTTCAAACACTTTTAACACTTTTTGCAAATAAATTAAATGACTCTGTGATCATGTGCCTCGGGAACGATAAAGGGAGACAAAAACACAACAGCATCAAGGCGTGCATGAGAGTGCATGGCTGCTTTAATGCCACAACTCCAACGATGCAATGGTCAACTAGGCAAGGTAACTCAAATAGTGGGGTTGTAGTTTGAAAAGACAACAACCATAGAGCAACAGTGAAGGAAGTGATAGAAAATAGATGGAAAAATATGCACGCCAAAGAAGGGATGCTGGAAATTGGAAAGAGACAATATTCGAAAACAAAAACTGACACCATCCATTGGGAGGGCACAGATTCATATTAGGCTATAGATACCATGTAGAGATAAAAGATAAAGAGTCATATGATGGAATCCTTGTGTGTCTAAAGCACAACAATATATCTGGTCCTATGTCCATATAGTAAAAAGTAAAATACATTTATCAATACTGAATGAAATCGACATTGTTCATAGCATTTATGTGGAAAAAGGTGAAGATATCATTCTTAGGATCACTACCAATAATTACCTATGGGATGTCAGTGGAAGGAGCTGGGCATAAATAGACCCAACACATATCAGTGACACACACAACAAACCATATCATGACAAGTGTTCTAGTTGACAATAGTTTCTCATTGAAAGTGATCTCAAAAGACACTTGAAAGAGTATCATCTAATGAACTATACATTAAGTCAAGCACTGTGGTAGACAGAACTTTTGATGGCTCATAAAGAAGTGATTGCAAAGAAAAATTTGTCAATCCGATTTATCGTGTTACATTTGAGGTAACAATTCATATGACAGAATGAAACTAAGCTTCCCATGTCATACTGTATTTGATAGTTAGACGTGAACTAAATCTTCAAACTATAATGCAAAATCAACCATATGGAATGGAACGGGATGATGATTGCTAATAAGCCTATGTGAAATTGCAAATTCTCTAGTTGAATCATCATTTGTCACAATGAGGGTCATGATAGAGGTTGAAAATAGTTTATTTTCTATACTGTGGCATCCCCCATTGTGTTCCTTGTTGTGACATCTCTCTTCACTATACACAAAATAATTTAGAGTATAAATCAAGACGGTACCAAATGGACGTTCTTGCATATCAGATTGAGGAGAACTATCAGCCGTCAACTTTTGGCAAGAACTAAGCTGTGCCTTCTTCTGCAATGCCTAGTATTAAAAAAAATAAAAAATATTACCGAGAATGGGGAAGAGGTTATAAAATAGATAATATACAGACTCCATTGGCTGAAATTGTAAAATTTATTGGAGCAAAACATACAAAAGTTTTGCTTTACATTAAACATACTTGCTTTAAAGCCTGTTGAAAATCTTCTGAAGGGTTATTGCTCCTTGCTTCAAACGACTGCAATAAAAATCATGTACAGAAATGATTAAGCAAACAATCATAGAACTACTTTCTTCACAATTGTTGAAAATTATGTCCTGCTTAACAGAAAATTGTGTAAAATAACTCCCTAATTCCATAGCAACAAACCTCTCAACAGAAAAGAAAAGGGAAATTCATAAAATTCAAAATAAAATTTAGAATAGAAGGATTGACAACAGCAGAGGCAATATGCTTAATCCAAATCATTATTTTAATAGTTCAGTACAAAAATTGTGTGACATGTTGCACGGAAACGTATTAGAAAATTGAGAAATAAGCATTTATTCACCCTCTGCTTTCTCATTTAGAAGATGAGGATTAGGCATTCTATATGCCTCTCTTCTAGCATGGCTTTACTTGGATGTTAAATATCAACAAGATGTAAATACAAGATAGTGGCTTGATTTCTAAAGTTATAAGCACCATCAACTTGTTATATATGTACAAAAGCATATTGCATGAAAAGGGTTAACTCACCTCCTCAAAAGTTGAAATATCTGTCATTGGATCAATCCAGGCACTGATAAGGAACAAAGAAACATCAGTGCAATAAGTAGACAAGTTAGACAACCAAGAAACTTCCGTCAGGAAAATGTATGAGACAATACCTGGAAAGATTTCCATAAAAATGCACTAAAACATGCCCATCACTACCAGGTTTGGATAACGCAGAAGTTTCTTCCATGATCTGAAAAGTTTATTTTTTTAATTAATATAGATAAATTGGCCATGAAATTTGAAAGCAAATAGTGACACAGAGAAATAAACTCCATGCCAAAGTCATGAGATGATCTATTTGATTAACTATTATGTTTAGAATGTTGGATTCAAAAACATCAAAGGTATGACAGATTTACACCGATAGTTTTTTATCTTGTAAACTACAAAAACGTTCCAATAATTGGTTTTCCTCGTATCTTTTGTAGATAGGTTGAGAAAAGTGTTGACAAATCAAGCACCGTAGATATGAATAGGAAAAAAATGTTCAATATTCAATAATTAAAGGATACAAATTTCAAGTGAACATGAATTGATCTAAAACATTGATCTTAACTTCTATAGCTCCCATAAATCAATATTGTCTCACAAATCTCCGAAGGAATAAAAAGCAACATGGTGGAATGAGTAAATAGAGAAATAAGAAGGAAGTTTATCAAAGTTTACCGAGATAATAAAGATAGTACATTATAGTACATCAATTATTAAAAAGGGAAAAAGGCAAAGACAGTGACGCTTAAACTGATTATAACCTAATCTATTTATTATATGGAAAGTCATTTCAAAATTTGAAAGTAAGTTCTCCAATTTTAAAGAAGACAAGGACATGTTACAATATCCTGATGTCAGTGAATTTTCCTGAAGAACTTAGGTGGTAAATGAACACTGCACGTAAAATCAAGAGATTCTTCAAGGATACCAAAAAGAGATGACCGACTTTGTATCAGTGGATTCCTTTTGTCTATCAAATGCCATATTGACTCATAAACCAGCACACATATAAAAGTAAATACCTCAGCAGGCCACCACAATTGACACTCTGTCCTCGCCCATACAACGCTTCCAGGAGTTGCAGCTAGAAAACTGCTATCACTGACAGATGATTCAAGAGTTATAGATTCAAACATCTTGGAAATATCATTTCTTTCATTGCAATCATCCCTGTATAAAAACAAGAAACTTTTTTTAAGTTTCAGTCTACTAAGAAACATAAAAGCCACAACGTCTTAAACTCTACTTATTTGCACTAGCACAATTGCACAAAAACAGACCTATTACGACCAAGATCAAGACTTTCATCTCGGACAGCTGAATCAACTTCCACAACTCCAGCATCAAAAAACTCAGATGAGCATACTGGTCTACCCTCTTGGTAAATGCTACATCGAACCATCGTATTTTCAGAAATTTGTTTTGTTGTCATTCCCTTCCCCTGCAAACTTCTTGCAGTGACATTGCTCAACCTCACCTCACCAGAAGACGAACCTGCATGAAAATTGGTCAGATCAAAGATAAGTATATTTTAAAAAAATTCAATCACAGTTTGGCAATGAAAGACAGACACTGGATTTAAATCCTAACAGAATGGTTAATTTAAATTGAATCACATGTTACACACGGCAAGATGTTGGAAGGAAGAGAACAAACTACTGGCAAAACCTCCATACTTGGCAACATCAACAACAAAGTTTTAGATTACGAAATGTATAAAACTAGCCTGAATAAAGTCATATGGATCTAAAAACAAAA